TCCTTCATGGCTGGTCCTTGCTGGTTCAGCCCGATCAAGAGGCAGTCGATAACCCCGACTCGGTTGACGAACGGCTCAATCCGCAAGAGAACAACGAAGAAGAGGCATCTCCCGAGCAAGATGCCTCTGATAACTAACGACAACGGCGGCTGGCAGCCAACTAATCGTCGTTGGCTTTTTGACAGTCGAGAAACGCCTTGGCGTATCGCTTACCAAATTCGCGATACGAATCGGCGTTGAAATGAACGTTGTCGCCTTTGTGCGTCAATCCATCCGATTCGACGAACAAAACGTTCTCGTCTTCTTCCGCGATTGCCTGATGAGCTGCGTCGACTTGTTCTTTGGCTTTGCTCCAAGGCCTCTCTTCGAACTTGCCAAGCTGACCGATTACAAATGGCACATCCTCAGCGTTCAATTCTTTACGAAATCGCTCGATGAGTTGCGTAAGCTTCTCTTGATAAACTTCTGCTTTGCCGGGACCTGAATCGGACTCGCCTTGGTGCCACAAGATACCCTTGAGTTGGCCTGCTTCAAGCGCGGCTTTGGCCCGCTTCATCGCGTCATCGTAAGGATGAGTCTTTGTTGGGTTATCATACGCCCCAGGCTCCCAAGACTTAATCGGCGAACCACCTACCGCACAAGGGATCAGCCCAACGGTCACGCTAGGATTTGCCTTCAACACCTCGAGTCCAAACGTCCGCCCCAGCCCGACTCCGACAATTCGAGGCTTATCAAAGTGCAGGGGATCGACAGCGGGAACCCATTTGCCATCCTGATTGAACATCAGTAGCTGGGCGTTCTCCTCTTGATCGGCCGGGGTCACTTTACCTCGTCCAGCCATATTGGACTGTCCCACCAACAGGTAAAGATGAAAGTCGCTTTTCTCTGGAAGCTTCGTTTCTTCGGCATTCAACGCGTTGAAACTAATGGCGAAAAGGCACAGCAGCGGCAGGATCGTAAACAGTACGGTTTTTCTCATGAGGGATTCTGCGAAGGAGTTGCGGAGGGACGTAGAAGGGGCAGGATCAACTTCAGATCCAAGGAAACAACTTCCTTACTTTAATCTCTTCGGCAGACAATTTATACTTCACCTTCGCACTGCGCCATTTTGCATATTTCGTTTTTGGTAGCCGCCACTCCAATATGATTCAGCCACTCGCGATTCTCGCTAACAGTCGTGTCACCACTCCACTCGTTCCCATCGAGCTTCCTGCGTACGGGGTGCCGGTCTGGTGCAAGCTTGAATATTTAAATCCGAGTGGCTCGACGAAAGATCGAATCGCGCGATACATCCTGTCGAAAGCGGTAAGAAGTGGCCAACTAAAACCTGGCGATTCGGTCGTCGAAGCCTCGAGCGGTTCTACCAGCATCGCCTTTGCGCTGGCATCAGCCCAGCTTGGACTTTCCTTCACAGCCATCATGCCAGAAAGCGTGAGCCCGGAACGCGTCAAGATAATTCGAGCCTACGGAGCCGACGTTCAGTTGACGCCAGCCGACGCCGGGATCGATGCATCCATTCGTCTTGCCCAGGAAATTTCTGAGACCCAAGGCGCATTCTGGCCGCAACAGTTTTCAAATCTTGATAACGCCAAAGCCCATCGCGACGAGACGGCCGCCGAGGTGCTTTGCCAGATACCTAGTGGCAACGTTGATGTCTTCGTCAG